AGTCACACACACACACAGAGTCACACACACACACACAGAGTCACACACACACACACAGTCACACACACACAGAGTCACACACACACACAGAGTCACACACACACACACAGAGTCACACACACACACAGAGTCACACACACACAGAGTCACACACACACACAGAGTCACACACACACACACAGAGTCACACACACACACAGAGTCACACACACGCTAAAATGTCTTATAGGAAAGATGGTGCCACCCTTCACTGTCTAGCATAAAACAATCTCATCCACTGCCAATGTCTCAGGGAGAGATCAAAGAAAATAAGTGAAAAGAAACAGCATTCATATTCGCTGCTGATCAGCATCGTACACTGTACAATAATAAAAAGCCTATTTGGAAAGCAAGTATGAATACTGTTATGGTAAGACATTTTTGTGTTATGAGACAGTCATGTGCTGAGTGGAGACCGTCAATGCAGTGGAGCTTTGAACTCACCGACTGTGGTTATGGGGTTTCCCAGCGAGGAGACATTCCGGGGCAGCCGCGGTCTGGGACTCTGCAGTCTGCAGCAAAACGTGTTTCAACACCGTCAGAAGAAGATCATGTAAATCTTAGTTATGCTATCATCGTACAAAAGCTCTACAAAAGCACAGTGAACTGATTATCAACAGAAATGTCTTGTGATTTCACAATTCTATGCATTTTAAAGCTTTAGGTACTTAAAAATAAGCTTTCATACTTTATTTAAGTGTTTAATTGAAAATATCCCATGGTTCATTAGTGAAGCTTTAAAAATACACAACTAACAAAATTTGGAGGTGCAGCAAAGCCACCTCAATGTCATGAAATAAAAAAAGGAATCCCCTTTTCATGTTTGATGCTGCTGTGTTTACCTATCCAGTTCAAGTGGTCTGGGATCTTGGCTGCCTGCATTAGCTTGTGCTGGGAAGATGATGGATGGGGGCTGTAAAACCATGGTAACCTCTCTGCTTTCCAGGGGTGGGCACTAAACACGAAAACAAACACGAGGTCACCGACACTGAAAACAATAAACACAGCACAACACGATCCTGTGGTATAACTGTTATCGCTCTTTACTGAAGCAGGAAAAAGACAGATTCTAGGTCACATACTTCATCTTGTAGTTGACACTATATTAAAGTGCAATTGATCCTGGTGTAACAGTAACAGTATTAATGCATACATGCTACACAGAAGGTGAAGTTCTGTAGATATAGATGTAGCTGTATCAACAACATACCAGGATCCACAAATGCTGAAATATCTGTAATATGTGGTGATCATAATTTAAAATGGGGGGGAGAACTTAACTAATAGAGTTGTTAAAATCTTATCTAGCTCTGATTTAAAGGAACCCAGGGTTTTAGCTTGCGCTACACTAACAGGAAGACTATTCCATGCTCTGAAACTACTTCTAATGACATGTATTGAAATTAAATATTGAAATAAAAAAATACTTATGGAGTTCATTAACTTGTAAGATATGTAAACGGGGAAAAAAAATAAAGAGTACATATTTCATGCAGTTCTTTTCCTTTTCTGATTAGTAGGTGGTCTTGAAACAGCCAAACACAATATTTGGCCAGGCCCTTTTGATGAGCATAATCCCCTGAGACAAAACAAGGCCCCCATTATCACATGTACTGAGTCACCCTGGCGTGAGTCAGAGCTATACCTCGTGTATTTTGCAAGCATAGCTGACATGCAATGCCTGCATTATTTCTAAACTGCTAGGTTTTCAGCACATTGTCCAATTAACTTCTCAATGAGAGCACAAACACAGGGGAAATTCTATGGTCAATGCTGACAGTTTTATAGACTTGTACAGTTTGTTTTCAAATTAGATCATGACCCCTTTATCCGTACCATGATTAATGACTGACAGTGGAAGATCGTGTGGTCACCTACCTAAGTTTCAGAATAGAGTATATACCTGCTCTCAGACTGTTAAAACTCCATTATCTGTGCCCAGGAAGACAAACAAGACCGAATGGGTGTAGACGTCTTAAAGAAATCCCATACATGTGGATCACAATGTACAAAGTCTTCTGCAAACATTTCAAGTGAAGTTTTCTCAGATAACAAACAGGAATTCAAGGTCTACACTGAAAAGCTTGTGCTCTTTGACTCTGTCTTTACAAATGAGACAGAGCTACCACCCATAAATGCTTAAAGTAAAAAAAAAAAAACACACAATAATCGAAGGCTTGACCAGCAATGGAAAAAAGGAAAACATCTGAGAACATTAATAAAGACTTATTGTAGGATATGCAAAGAGAAATCGCTGATGGTTCAGGTGCCATCAACAGGACAAACAGCCAAAGCCAAAGGTTCACACAAACAGTCACAATGTCACCCATACCTACAGGTTAATGTACCATCTAACCATTGATTTAGAAGGAGAGTGGAGTTTGAATAAGAAGAGGCACTTACTGAGGTTGGGGAGCTGGACGAGCTGTCGAGCTCCTCTGGTGAGTCCTCTTCTTCCTCTGGCAGAGTGGGCATGGCGGGGGGCAAGGGGACCCGGGTTCGAGGGCGAAGACGAGGAGTCGAGGACGTGCCAGAAGCTCCTTTGGCGTAATGATTTGGGAGGCCGTGGGGCTCCGGCAGAGGAGGGCAGTGTAAACTCCCGAGTGCTTCACCCTGTAAGCACAGCACACACAGTGTCTATGGACACCGCTTCAGTGAAGCACACAGAGAGCATCTTCACCACCAGCCGCTTCATTTGTTTTCCATTTGCATGTATCCAGCAGTCGTGATCTGCTTTGTCCTTTGAAAGGGGTGACTTTTAACCCATAACTTTATGATGCAGTGTTGCTGTAAATTGAACAACAATTCTTGCACTTAACCAGCACAAACAAAACACTGCTAATATCTTATTAAAATACAGAGCTTCACTGTTTGATGTATATAATTTAGATTATATAGTTTAACCATATTGGTAACACTTTTCTTAAAGTAGTCACATATAATGCCTTATAATGCATTCATAAAGTATTATAAACACAGCTATAACTACGTATAAGAAGGCATAACACATTACAGCCATGTTTATTATGCATTATCAAGCCGTCATCTATAATGCATATAAATATCTTCAAAATGAAGTACAAAGCATCCTTAATTCTTATACTGATCATTATAACGCATTAAGAAGGTATCTGTAGTCATAATCAACATGGCTGATATGCGTTATGCCTTTTAATAAACAGTTATAGCCGCATTTATAATACTTTGTGAATGCATTATCATGCATTATGAAGCAATCTATAATGATGGCTGTTACCAAAACATTATTTCATTGAAAACCTGATTGTTAAATATTTAAATGATAAATTATAGCCAGTAATTATATACCAGCAAAATGTATGTGCCCTGCCATGCCACCTGGAATACCCCCTGGCTTTGTGCCGTTTCCAGCCTTGCACTGGCTCTAGGATTAGCACTTTGAAGATGGATGGAATATACATCTTGATGTAGCCACTATAGCCACCTTTATTATATTTTTTATTACATTCAGTTCCAGTGCTGGGTTGGGTGAGTAATATGTTGCACTTGTCATGCATCAAACATAAACAGGCATTTACAGCAAAAAACGTGTTTCCTCTCTGACAGTCTGAATAAATTTGGTGGGATTTTTTTTTTTGCAGACGTCATATGGGCTGTCAGATAACTTCTTGTTAGTAAAGGCTTTGCTCTTTATATATTGCCCCCCCACCATGAACAAATCTGACAAATCTGTGAAGAAACTGTTTTTTTTTCTTTTTTTATGGTAGTATATCATAATAAAGAAATAAACAGACTCACTTATAAGTAACTTCTATGAAAGAAAATTGAGACTCATATATTGCTATGCTATCAGCTTTGTGTTGCGTTGTACCTGTATCCAATACAGCAATGAAAAGACTTTTCCTGTGTCGCAAACCCACCTTGTCTGAAACCACCAAAGCTGGAAAACGTACCACCAAAGTCTTCCTTATCTCAACATCTGCTGCCTCTGACTGGAAGCTGTAACTGTTTTCTGTTGTCTCCTGTCTGCAAAAGGCACATTAAACATTTATACAAAAACAAATAAGCTTTTCTTGGTTTCATTGTTTTACAGGTATGTCGCATTTCAGCCAATTTCAGGTTCAGTAAAACTGGGGAACTGGGTGAAACTATGAACTTACACTGAAAGGAAGATTTTGTCTTGCCACATTCTTACAATAGCTCAGTAATGCTTTACTTGAGGGGACATGAACAGTGTAGTAGTACATGCTTACATAATGCATTAATTAACCAGTAACTAAGTGTTAATTATGTACTAATCCCATGCTTGTTCGTCATTAATCAATCCTGACAATTCATGTATTTCATGGGGTAAAAATCATGATCTGTTCATGAGTAGTAAATGAGTTAAGTAACTTTTGTCCCCTTAAGTGGTCGTACCATTATTAATTAATTAGTTAACTGTTAACGAATATAGTGCCTGAATGGAATAGATGAACTGTCATGATTGATTAATGATGAACAAGCATGGGATCAGTATATAACTGACACTTAGTTACTGCTTAATTACCATGTACTACTACATTATTCATGTCCCCTCAAGTAAAATGTGACCAATAACTCTCCCTAAATATCAGATTTGCTTTCAAGAAAAGGTGATTAGCTGTATAACTTTTCATTAACTTAATATTTACCCTTTAAAAATAGACTGAGGCAAAATGTAAAAATAAACACAGCACAAATTAACACAATAGTACATGAGAAGAATTACGTCATATTGTGCTCCAAGGTATGCTAATGTGTACAAATAATCACCTTCCTACATGCTCTTTGGTATCGCATTTGGGGACAGGCTGGGGGCATGTTTCTGGGTCAGGCCCTTGTGATTGTGGGGTGAACTGGGGGTGGCCACTCTCAGACAGAGGGGGTACAGAGTCTGAAGGGGTCTCCTCAGGTTCTGCGGAAGAAGTTTTAGCTGGAGGGAGGAACCAGATCAAACCAGGAAACTTGAACATTGACCACATATATATGTATAAGTACATATTTGACCATACTGTGAAAAAGTTACCTAAAGAGGAAGATCCAGCGCAATCATTGTCGTGCCAAGCATCCACGGGAAAGCAGGGATACCGAAGTTGTGAGCTTTTGTCTGCAGAGCAGGCAATCCCAGAATCCTCACTATTCTGCCAGACACAGAAAATTACACAGAGACAGTTCCAGGGGACTTCAAGCATACGGCCCAAAAATCACAGCGTTTCAACTCCAGGTTAAATAAATGTTTTATATCAATGCCTGTTAAATCAGGTAACAGGGAGAAGAGAAATTATATCATTCTTTTTTCACAATTTTACAATTGTCTTTAAAAAAAACACAGTGAGTGTTGGACTTGATCTAAGCCTTGAAAACGTGTATCTGGAATATTTTAAAGTTCAGAGTCTGCATACTATTCTGCTTCACCTGCTGTCAAAGCAATTAAAATTCAGGATTCCCAGATGTTTTACAGCTATATAAAAAGACTGAGCATCGGGGGGGGATCCAGTATATAAGACATTTTATTCTTGGAAAAAAAATGCCTTATGGTAAGCATATCAGAGTGACGTGTTTCTCAGTATGGAGGCGGGGCTAAGACACAATGTGAACATGTGATCATTAATTACGTCTAAATATGGCAGCAATTGGGCAACTGTGACATTCTAATACTTAGAATACTCAGGCATGGTAGGAGCCATTCAGAGACAAAAAAAATGACCCTTTATGTCACATTTATTATCGTGAGCTATTTTTAAAACAGCTTCCCTGTGATGCCAGATACACTGTTTGGGACAGAAAATAGCATGGCAACCATTAGGAGGCCCAAATATTTTGAGCACTCCAGGGAAATCTAGGCACTGGTCTCCCAGCAGACAGATAAGACTGGTGAGAATGAAAACGTATTATGAGAATGGATACGCTGCATGAAATTGGTCCGCAGCCAAAACAAGAACCCCTTCCTAGTCTAGCTATACATTGCAGTTGATCTGGAGTTTGGATCTTCATGACAACCATGTAAAGGACCATCCCACTGTGCACTGCTGCCTGCTGGCTCAGGATGTTTTGGTTTCGCAGCCCACAGACACTTATCAGTGCTGCGACTTCAGGACATTCCCAGCCCACTCATCCGTACTCCAGTTAAATACAAAATCAAATGTAAACCTCCACTGTTCATTTTTCCTGGTCTTTGTTCCTTGTCACAATCCACAGTAGCTGTCTGTCATCAAAGGTCAGGCCTAAATAAAGTTTGAGTTCTTGAGATCATCTATTCCTCTACCAAAATGGTATCAAGTGCCTTTTCTAATACTAACAGTGCAACACATGCAAATATCAAAAAGAACATAAAAACATTACAAAATATTTCCATGTTGTAACTGTCTATACAAATGAGTCCTCCTCTCCATCAGCATCAGAGGATTTTACTACATGTAATTCATTATATACTGTATACATATTTAAATACATAACATTTAATTACATTTTATTACACCATGAACCTTGTCCAGGATAATGATATATGAATGGGTCGATTGATATTTTATTAGTGTTGTTTCGAAAGATATAACATATTCATGGACCAATTGGACATTATTCAAATTTTCTATGAATTTATTGCTTTGTGGGAAACTCTTTTGCATGTTGGGCCCATCTGGAACACTCATCCTTGCTTTCCCTAAGGAGGTTTCTCTGTCCTTGTCCACATAGGTCACAGCTGTAAAGAAAACAAACTCGAAAAGAACACATAACATTTGTGCTCGCTTGGTCCCTAGGGCAAAGACCAGTCCACTGCATTGAGAAATAATCTAATATACGAAAAAGACAAGCCTAACAGGTCAGCTTAACTGGTATGGGGATGCATGCAGGAGAAAGATATTGGTTGTTGACTGTTGGTTGTAGGAATGTGTACAATGACAGATGTAGGTGCGAGAACTAAGAACATGGAGAGACAGGAATAGTAATATAGAAGTCTTATGCCAGAAATTGTATGAATTAGGAAATAAGTTTGTTTTCTAGAATTAAAGATCTAACAGACAATATCAACCACAACATGGAACATAAGAACATAAGAACATAAGAACATAAGAAATTTACAAACGAGAGGAGGCCATTCGGCCCATCAAGCTCGTTTGGGGAGAACTTAGCTAATATCTCAGAGTTGTTA